AGAGTCAGACCCCGGCCTCCTCTGTGGCCTCAGCCTGCTGACTGTAGTATGAGCCAGCAAGCACCTAGTGTAGCGAGGCTGAGATCTACCTTTTGAAGGCTCTTACTGCCTATTGCAGAGTTACCTTTCGAGATGTCCATTGAAGCCCTAACTGTAGTAACAGAATATCAGAAATAGTCATTTGGCTAGTGGTCAAAAATTGCCATATAGATATGGTTAAAGTGAGGCTTATTTGTTTAAGAATTATTTATATATTTAATTCCTCTTTTTTTGAGACACTTTTGCTATAGGGCACATGCACTTGCCAGAGAGACAGAAAGTGAGAAATCACTCCCCAGGGGGGATACCCATGTCACAGTCCTTTCTCCTCCAGGGTTCTTGGGCATTCACATGCGCCTGGCATGAATTTTAAGTCACTGGGTGCAAGACTCCAGCCAGGGTCGACTATGTGGGAATCCAGCAGTGTAACCATTACACGCCATCATCAGCTGGTCCCTCCATTTGTTATGTTTTCTAATTTGATCAGACAGAGAGAAACAAAAACAAAGGGAAAATAAGAAAGCAAGACACCACCAGGTCAGGGACTCAAACCCCAGCTAGCCATGTGGGAGTGCAGCGCCCTAACTGCTATGCCACCTGCCTGCCCCTGTGGTTTATCCTTTAAAATGATGAGATGGTTTCAATGCACGTTTTCAAGTGAATGAATGAATATTGGCCCAGCTGGTGGTGTGGTAGTTAAGGTGGCTGGATCCCACAAAGCCAGTGGCATGGTTCGAGTCCACAACCTGACAGCTTGAGAAACCTATTGGGTGCCTGTACATGTGTGCCCAAAATCCTGAGAGGAGAAAGAAATGGAGGAGAAAGGATTGTGAAGTGACCCTTCCTCATAGAGGGTACTTTCTCGTTTACCATATTCTCTTTTTTCCTCTGGGAAGTGCACGTGCCCTTTGGCAAAATTAAAAAAAAAAAAAAAGGAATGACAATTGGGGCTGGCAGGTGATGTGATGGTTAAGGGCCCTGGATTCTTACATGGCTGATCGTGGTTCGAGTCCTGGACCTGGTGGCTTGCTTTCTCACTTTCCCTCTTTCTTGCTCTGTCCCTCTCTGGTCAAATTAAAATAAATAAATAAATAAGTCTGGTCAAATTAAAATGAATGAATGAGTGAGTAGTTAAATAAAATAATTTCTTTTTAATAAAAGGTGGGTTGTCAAGCGATGTGGTGGTTGAGGTGTTGAATTCCCACGTGGTTGACTGTGGTTTAAGTCCTGGGCCTGGCATCTCACTTTCTCTCTCTTTCTGGTTAAAACTAAAAAATAATGAAAAATAAATTAAATGAAATAATTATTTTTAAATCAATGATTGTCAACACGTATTGTCATTGAAAGACATCTGAAGAATACTTTTTATAGAAAAATATGTGCAGTACCATTCTATTTGCTTATAAAAACAGTTATATTTCATTGAAAAACTCTGAAGGTCTCTGTTTGAAACCTAAGGCTAGTTTCCATTGAAAGTAGGAGAGAGAGTTGAGAGAGAGGAGAGGTGTTCATTTCTAATTTTATGTACCAATGCTTACATTTTCAGGGGACTCATTATTTTTGCAATAAGAAATAGTTTGGGGCCAGCTGGTTAAAATGGCTGGACCCCACAGACTGACTGTGTGGCTTGAGTCTGAGACCCAGCAGTTTGAAAAACTAGGCGTGGGACCAGCAGTTAGCATAATGGCTATGTCGCTGCACTCCCAC